GGCTCCTGCCCTGCCTCATGCCCACGCACGCCCTGCCGCAGAAGCCGTGAGCATCCGGGGCAGCGTCGGGGAGGGCCATGGCCAGCAGCCTGTGTGGCCTCAGCGTTCAGGACCTGGACAAAGGCCGGGGCCGTGAAGAGGGGAGGAAACTGCACGGAGGACATAACCCCCAGGGTGAGGGGGGTCCTGCGGCCCTGTACCCCCGTCCAGCCTCCATCCTCCTGCCCCCTGTCATCCCCAAGGATCTGCCCAAAACCCCTGAATTGCCCATCCACGGTGGGGAGGGGGCAATTAAAGTTCAGGGGAAGGAAGGAAGGGAGGGAAGAGTGAATCAGCAGATGGACAAGTGAGGGGAGAACTAAGGCCGGCCCCCTCCGGCGTGGGACACGGTAGCCCCTGCCCGGCGCCGCCCCGACCCGCAGCACACGCACCATGACGTTCAGGCCCTGGTTGGTGGGCCCCTGGGCCACAATGTACTCGATGCCGGTCTCGTAGATGTCCATGGGCCGCCGGTACTTGACCACGGTGCCGGCGATGTTGAAGTTCTTGGGGCTGTCCACCTTGAAGTTGCCGTTGAAGAAGTAGTTGCCGGCTTCATCGGCGAGGGCTGATGGGTAAAGGCTGCCGGTCAGAAGCGCCGACTGGCTGGAGGGAACGTGGCCACCCCTCACCCGCTAACCCTCCCAGACACCCCAAAGACAGAAACCTCACGCCTCGGGGAGTGGGCTCTGCCGGCACCAGCCTGCGGCCTGGCCAGGGGTGCCCAGGACACGGGAAGCCATTTCCTGTCACCCAAACTAAGCAACTTGTCGGGGTGGCCCGGTCCTATCGTTCTGGCTGCCTCAGAAGGGGCTGGGCTCCGAGGTGACAGGCAGCGTCAGGACTAAGCCTCCAGGTCTGGAGCCGGGCCCGTGCCTGGGGGGCAAGGGCTGGGCAGCAGGTGTCAGCCAGGTGGGCGGGCGGGGCCGTCCAGCTGGCTCTGCTGCAGACTCGCCTGTGACCCTGGGCCTGGCGTGTCCCCAGCATCCCCACACCCTGGACATGGGGAGGGCACCTCACTGCCCATCTAGGACCCACGCTGGTGACGCTGCAGCCCTGGCCTGGCTGGCCCGGAGCACTGCCCTGGAGGT